CTACTATATCGAATATCGTAAATCGATTGGCTTCCATTGCGAGCGCAACCAACCAACCAAAACGTGAACAAACGAGTTTAGCTGCTAACTCATGTTTTCCAATTTTTTATTTTATTTATAAAAATGTCATCGTATCAATGTTATTGTTTAATGTAAGACAGATTGTAAAAAAACCAAACCAACCTACACCGACAGACAGAAGAAAGAGGACAGAGACAACAAAAACTACTAGCACTAGCCTAAAAGAAGAGGAAAATATCTATATATATAATTCAGTAAGACCAAATCTTTACCAGAAAATTGTGGACGTCTGGTAGGTAAGTCGCAGAAAAGTGGGAGGGGTCTTAAATTAAAGGTCTTGACCCCAGGGACTCGGGAAAAATAGCAGAATTCCCATAAAGTTACCAGAAAACGAGATATAACGAAAAATATCCACCATAAGAAATGCATGGGGACTGAAAAACGTCTGCATTCTATCAGCTGTTACTTATTTATTTGCAATGTTTACATTTATTCCGAAAGTCAACGTTGGTAAATAATGCTTCAGAATGAATTGTGTTTAATTTTTTTGTTTTCCGTTTTTATAATGAGTGCAGTAACTAGACAGGGTAGGGGAAGACCTTCAAGACGTGGAAGAGTGTCCAGGAATTCAACAGACTTAAGAAATGCAAAAGAGAACGTCATGTAGGGCCTAACTGTGAAAGAAATCCAGAAGCTGTTTTACAACATGTGTCTTTAGATGAACGCTGAAAAATGAGTTGAGTGTTGTTTCTCACAATCTAGGTCCTCTTAAAGCACTTGCATGCATTGTGGCGCATTTCACTTCGCAGATGAGGCCACAAATGGACATTTCAACGCATGCTGCCACAATGGGCATGCCACAACCACAAGTAAATGACGAACTAAAATAACTGTTTTTACATGATTCGAACTTCATAAAAAACATAAGGCAATACAACAGTGCAATGGCCTGTGCGTCGCTTTCCGCTACACAAAAAGAGATTCCGGGAAATGGGCCTTACTGTCTTAAAATTCAGGGACAAATTCATAGATATATTTCTGACTTACTACCACGAAATGGGGAGTTTCCTTCATAATAATTAATAATAATTTTGACCTTTACATGTGGTTCTCAAAATGGAAACTATAACAGAATTCGTAAGATTACAAAACAAATCTTCAAATTTTAAACTAGAAAAGATGTGCAATGTTTGGCTGTATTTTAATTTTAAAAACATTGGCCTATTTCGAATATTTGTCATTTTATATAAGTATGGTTTTTTATTGTAGTCCAAATTAGGGGCTACGGCCCCTATAGGCCACTAGTTTGATTTAATTATGTTATTTAATTTATTCCAACTTTGTTCCTTTTGATCAGTTTCATGGTGCCTGCAAAGGCACCAACAAAAAAACAAGGCATCTAAACGCTTTTAAAAGTAAGGGGCGGGGGGGGGGGGGGTGGTAATTTATCTGGCGTTAATTGCGCAAGTTACTGGAATATTAATTTTAAAATTCCTCCGTAATTTAAGTTCTTATATATTCATCATGCTGGTTATTAGCCTTACTGTAATTGGATAATAAACATTTTCATTGGCAAATTTTATGCCAGGTTCAGATATTATGTTGTACTTATTTATTTGCATTCACTCTCACTGATTGTGAATTAAATTATGGCCTTCCGTCGCCAAGGCCACATTATGACGTTTGACGACAGACATATGAGCTAGGAGCAGCTGCAGCAGAAGGCACCAAGGCAATAGTTTACTTCCACCATGAGACAGCCGGTGAGCCAGAGCCGATTCGTAAAAGATTAACCCTTGCCGACAGACCGCCACCGCCCACCACCACCCACCACTGCTCGAGCGAACACCATTACCGCTAGCTCAGTGACCGCAACGATACGTTGAACAGCCGTAGGTCGGTGGTCTAGGTCTGAAGGTCTCGTCTAAAAAGTCGATGTCTGTCATCCGGTAGAAAACAAGCTCGATATTTAACCGAATGCCTACCATATCATTGTGAACCCAGCGCTATCCATAATTCGTCCTCTCGTCACAGGTAGAACAGTTCTACCAACCCTATCAAATCAACCATATTGGGACGTACTATGTGACGTTTTAGTACAATTTTAAAGGACAATCTTGATCTCGCAACTACGGGAAAGTGAACTGACCTGAGTGACCCGACACCTCAATAACTGGAATGGCCTGTTGATGTAAAAGAAAAATCTAAGAAATGCCAGATTAAGTCCATTCGTAGAAACGTGCGAGGGGATTAACGGGACACCCCTGTATTCTGTTCCCTAATATTTCCTTTAAAGTTCCCAGTACTGACTGTTATGGGTTTGTTTATATTAAACAATCGGCCAAATACTTTGCACCAGGTGTCCATGTCTACATTTTACAACATGCATTTCGTTCACCTTTCCCAGTAATTCGTGGTTCGTTTCTGATTTTTTAATAATGAGGCATATTGTGCTATTGTTCTAAATACATACGAGAGATATTCAAAAAGGCAAAAAGAAAGAAAAAAGTTTTGAGGTAATAACAAGCCTATATTTTAATCAGGAAAGTGTTATCATATGCCAAATTTCAGCCTAATCCCGATTTGCCCAATGAATTGTTATTGAGTGATTGAACCCCAAACAAACACACAAACATTCATTATTAGTAAAGTAGCACCGTACTTCAACGTATAAATCAGGCCGTAACTTGAAATAAACGCTTAGGCCAGTTACATTTTTAACATCCAAATGTAATATTATTTCGCCTAACAGCGTTGATCAGTTATTAAACGGAGGCAAATAGTACCAAAAGTCATTATCTTGCAAAAAAAAATTTTTCTAAGAAAAATCAGGTTAACAAAAATAAAGGACTTTGGCTTTGACTTTTTTCAGGTTATAATCCTAAGTCAAATTTGTAAAATCAAAATAAAATGTCCAGAAATGCTATTTAAGAGTTAGCTACATTAACTTTATCTAAATTAACTGAATCAAAGTACAATATATTTAATGCTACAGAATATAAATCCAATAGATTTATTTATTGATAAATCCAACCGATTTATTTATTAATAAATCCAACCGCGAGGTGGTGGGTTGTCGAGTTGGCCGGTGGGGCACACGGAAGATTTCTAAGGTGCCGTTTGACGACACTAACTGCTGCGTCTGAAGAAACAGACAATTTTATAATTTTCTATTATTAAATTAAACTGTCATAACCTAACCAAACTAACCAAACGTGCTGATAATGGAAAAATCGAATAAAGGTTTACTAATCTAAAAAATAGTTTTGTTCATAAAATAAAATTATAATTGTCTAAAATTCCAATTTTATATCTTTTAATTATAAAATTAAACTGTCATAACCTAACCAAACTTGCTGATATGAAAAAAATGTTGATAAAAAGTTAGTGCCACCGGCAATGATTCAAACCCGGATCATCCGGATTATCAGCCCGCAACGCTATCCACTGCACCACCGAGGCCATTGGCTGAAAGTCGTATCGTTGCGGTATTCGTGTTACCTCAAAGTGACGTCAGCAGTTAGTGACGTCAAACGGCACCTGAGAAATCTTCCGTGTGCCGTTTCGTCGAGTTGGCACGTTGTCGCCTATGAGCGAGGTGGCGCGTTGACGGCACCGAACACTGAGCGTACACGTCAACCCGCCACCTCGTAAAAGAGTGGTGGCGGGTTGACGGGGTGGCACGTTGTCGCCTACGTACGAGGTGGCGGGTTGCCGACATCGAACATGGAGCTTCACGACAACCCACCACCTCTGATAAAAACTGGTGTTGGCGGGTTGTCGTGGTGGCATGTTGTCGTGGTGGCTCATTGACTTGAGTGTGTACGAAAACCCGCCACCTCGGAAAATTGTGTGGTGGTGGGTTGTCGTTGTGGCCTGTTGTCGAGGTGGCGGGTTGACCTGTACGTATACGTCAACCCACCACCTCGGTTTTTTTGTGGTGGTGGGTTGACGCCTCTGACCAAAACACCGAGGTGGCGGTTTGACGTGGTGGCGCATTGACAGCGACCCCTCCAAATGACACTGTTGGCAAAATTAATCCTGAAAAACATATCGTGCCTGCCACGTGCAGTTTGGATGCTCCGTGTTCCGTTCCGATACCAATTCCGCTGTCCCATGGGTGGGACCCCATGTAGTGTGGGGTTGCGGTCCTCCGTCCTACTCCTACAACATGAACGGTCTCGTTTTAGCGAATTTCCCATATAAGGAATAAGCTATTGCCGTAGTACTCATGGTAAGACCTGGACCCGGGACCGATTTTTCTTTCGTTTTGAGGTCCCTAGAGGCCAAAAATAGCATCCGTTCAAATTCATATATATATATGTGTCCGTTAGCGTGATAACTCGAGCAAAAATGATCCGATTTTGATGAAATTTGGTACAAATGTGTAAACCTACGTTTATTCGAACGAGTTCGCGAACCAGCATGATCGGACCATGGGAACGGGGGTTTATGGGGGCATTTATGGGGTAAAAAAGGGGTTTTCCCATTTTTGACCCAAAAAACTTGAATTTTTACAATTTCTTTCCAAACTATTTTGTAGAGCTTAAAAATACAAATAATTTAGTATATTGAAGCGTTTTAATGCGCCTAATGGTTACGGAGAAAATTCAAAAAAATTGTAAATTTAAAATTCCCTTGTTATTCTTATGGAGGATAAGTAAACTGTTGTAATTTGCTTATTTGTTAACATATTTTTGCCCAAATTTGGAAAATGTTTTTATTTCTTACTAACTATTAACATTTTACATAAAAAAACACTTTAACCCTCCCTGTTGCAGCAAACCTGAGTATGTGTTAAACTGATTTGATTTAAATAGGGAATAAATGTGATATTTTTAAGGAGACATTTTAGTGTAAATCCAATCAGGCAAATGGAAATTCGCTTAGTCTGCAGGTTTGCTGCGGCGGGGGTATTTCGTAGTCTAGTCGTAGTGTAACAGTGTACGGTTACGGTTTGTAGTGTGTAGTGCCATGGTAGTGCTTAGTTAGTGTGTGTGGGTGATTCGATTCGTGAGTCGTGATTGTATTTTTGTGCATTGCTTGCATTGCATTGGCTTTGGCTTTGGCAAAATTGACATTGTTTGTAGGTTACCCATAAGATAGAGATATTGAGTAAAATTGCTGATTTGTGCAATAATAAATAACTTACAATTGTTCGTTTTTACCAAGGGAAATAGTCTTGCAACATGTCTGAAACTCGTGTCAGACGTGTGGTTACTGAAGATCTATCAAACGTTGAGTTTGAGACAAGTGAAGATGTTGAAGTTATTACCACGTTCAACACCATGGGGTTACGGGAAGAACTTCTTCGGGGTATATATGCTTATGGTAAGAATAATCAATCATTTCCTAACCTAAGTCAGGCCTATGACACTCCAGTGAGATTCAGCTTTTAACAATTCAAAACATGCCGATAGGCCTAGGCCTAGCAGTAGCAGGTCTTGGCTTGGGCTACAGTGGCCCGTGGCAAAACCCTCAATCTGAATGCTTTTAAAAAGTAGCTAGCCAAACTTATTCCTCTTTTTAATAATAATACTAAGTAGTAAGTCATTTATTAGGCCAGATCAACATACATTAGTTAAGTCAAATTAAGTTAATCTTAATTGATAAAACATAGGCCTATTGATTATCTTACAGTGAAAACAACTAAAGTATTTACAAGCAACTACAAGTTAATAATTCAACTTAACACGTTCGCTGCGGCACGTCAAATAGCGGGCGTAACCCCAGTGCGGCGCAGCCCTCAGCGTCGAGTAAACCCGATTGCCGCGTGTGATTGGCCTTTTCAATTTTGGTCTGACGAATAGCAAATAACGTGAGGGGATGTCCTGCTTTACAACGAGAGTCGATGTAGTTCGCTAAACACCTACAGATAGCAGCACTGCTTGGAACGTAGCCGGTCCCATTGGAATTGTACTGCCAAATGGAGGGAAAAAGACGGGACATAAAGAAGACTTTTGAGATTGCCAGACGGGAATTTTACGGGGAAATTTACTACCAACCTACACCACAACAAAATGCAAGTCACATACTCACACGCTAACGTCGTATAGGTCCGCTTTCGGCCGACGCTAGAGCAAAAACGAAGATATACAAAAGGCATTACCGAGCGTTCCTGATGGGGTACGGACGCACCGTACGGGGGCCAAGCTCCGTACCCGATCGGGAACGGCCGCACTCTACGTGTTAAGTGCAAACAAGTAAAAGTCTACCAGTTTTTAGGGACGCTGTATGTAATGACTGCAACTTAGGTAGACAACTGTTAGGCTATAAGTTAGGCCAAGGCCTATTTAACTCAGATGGGTAATTATGGCACCTATAAAATGTCACTGCTGGTTAGCCTACCTAAGTTTAGAAGTTTAGTCTCGATTAAGTCAAGATTTGTTTAGTAGGCTTAGCCTGATCATAACTTAACCCTTAGAGTGCCAGGCGAGAAATAAAAGTAAGTTAACGCTCAAAAAATGCCGATGATTTTTCCCGAAGGTCGCGCTAAAAATGCCGAGCGCAATCTGGCGATTTTTAGGTTAAAATTTCGTAAAAATTGAATTTTCGATATTTCGACCAACGAAAATCGATGTATCGCATCTAGTAACTTTCGACTCAATGTTAATATATGGGTTAAAAGAATCCGAGTATCCATTCGGTTGTTATGACAACTGTTCGATCATTACGAAACGTCCGGTCAGCCGGACGTTGGCACTTTTGGCTCGTTCTAAAAACGTCCAGTCGGCCGGACGTCAGCACTTTTGGCTCGTTTTAAAAACGTCCGGTTCCCCGGACGTTGGCACTCAAAGGGTTAACTTGAGCGGGATTAAGTTGGGCTACTCATGTGACTTTCTCTAACTTTTAGTTTAGGTACCGGTATTTTGCTAAATAACTTAAGGCGGGGACACACTTGTCATACACCCTTCCGATCCGACTCCGATCTTACTGCGGTACGACTGTCGGAGAGGGGAATGGTACATAACATTGAACGCGGTTGTTTACACCTCTCCGACACGCGTCACGTCATACTCCGATCCTACTCCGATTTTGACTCCGATCACGCACCGACACTGCAGTCTATTCGTTTGTCGGATGCAGGACGGGTTGTTTCTTAAAAATCACCTTTATTCTTAAGGTTTAAGAATAATGGTTTAAGATAAATATATGCCGATGCTTGATGTGAAATCTGTGCGTGCATACCTTCAATTTGAGACCTCGATCATGAAAATCGGACGGGTAGAAGACCCAAACGAACTCGAGAAAGAAAACCCAATGTGCTTAATATACAGGGTGTCCCGGAACTCTCTACCAATATTTTAGGGCATTGCTCCTGGGTAAGAAACATACCTAAATATCATATTTAAACTGTCTGGAAGTCCTTAGTTACTCACACAGCCGCCATTTTGTTTTTTTCAGTTATTAATTTTTTTCTAAAGAATGGTTAAACATACGAAATGGAAACTTTGCACAAACATTATAGACAACTAGACAAAGCTACAAAAAAATTATGACGATTTTTCAAATTCATAAAACAAAATGGCGGCCATTTAAAATTTTAAAATTTTGTTTCTTAATTAACTCAAAAACCGTTGATTTGATAAACATTTTAAATGGCCGGCATTTTGTTTTGTGAATTTGAAAAATCATCATACTTTTTTGTAGCTTTGTCTAGTTGTCATAAATGTTTGTGCAAAGTTTCAATTTCGTATGTTTAACCATGTTTAACCAAAAATTAATAACTGAAAAAAACAAAATGGCGGCTGTGTGAGTAACTAAGGACTTCCGGACAATTTAAATATGATGTTTAGGTATGTTTCTTACCCAGGAGCAATGCCCTAATATTGGTAGAGAGTTCCGGGACACCCTGTATAAGATGGGCACTTAAGTAAGCCACCTAACTTTCTTTCCATACAGAATGAACCCAAATTCTTCGTTTTCCACTGCCCTTCAGAGATGTCTGACTTTCTTCCTCTTCAAACCGCCATCATGGCTGAATTCCGAAGTCCAAAGTTTTCGAACATGTTTACCACCTTCTGTTGCACGTAGTTTACAAATCAGACTGGCAAGTGTTGATCGACCGGTGGAGGAAATCGGGCATGGGTCGGAAGCGTGTATGACAAGTGTGTTCACCCCCTCCGATCCCGCACCGATCCTTCTGGAATCCCGCAAATCGGATCGTAGTAGGATCGGAAGAGTGTATGACAAGTGTGTCCCCGCCTTTAGGCAATTCTAAGAAGATCTTCAAACTTTAGTTTACGTCCTACATTTACTCACATAAGTTACCGCAGTTTGGTTAGGTTTAAGTGGTTTGGAACAGTTTAGTTTTATAATCAGCTGGTAAGTTAGTTAATGTATAACTTTATAGTAAATTTAGGACGTAAACTAAAGTGCAACCGAAACATCTTACCTGGCACTTTTGGAGCAAACACTGTTTTCATCTCAATTCAAATTAAAGGTTGCTTAACCCTTTGGCTGCAAGGTAGTTTTGTTATTTTCCATCGCGATGTTGCCAAGCGAATATAGCAGTGTTGGCCACCTGCTGCCAGCACTAGCCTATTTAGCATATGGTGACTGTGTACTGCCAGGAAAAAACATGTGATTTTACAAAGTTACTTATTTGTTAAATGTCATAACTTCCCTTGTACGTACCGTACCTAAGTTAACTTAACTTATAAATAACTTAGGCCTATGATAAAACAGAGCAATTTTTGTTTTGTTTTGTAGAAGAATGTTTTTATAGTCTAAGTATGTAGGCTACTAACTTAAAAGCCCGACATGGTATATATCAATCACGGACGCCTCGCCAAAATTAGCCTAGGCCTATATTTTTTTTTACTATTCTTATGCTAGGCCTAATAACATCCTAAATAAAAATTGATTGTCGTTTTCCCCGGAAAAACACTGTTTCCCCGGAGAAGGGGAAAAACATTTTTTGCAGAAATGGGTCATGAGGTAGGCTACATAGGCCTACTCAAATTAACCAGTATAGAGTGAGCTGAGCCAGAATACAAAATTTTTTAATAGGCTATCCGATGGATTTTAACGGAGATACGGCCGGAAAAGTGCCGTTTCCCGGAAAAACGATGAAGAATTATTTTATTTCAACACACACATTTTAGGTATCTAAAATTGTGCAGACGCTGATTGCGTTACGTTGGGTTCAAGGTTGGGTTGGGTTAGGTTAGGTTAGATTGTACCTATTCGGTTATGTAAGGTAATGTACCGGTAGGGTGGAGTGGGGTAAGTGTGACAGCGGGATTCAAGTGTGATAGCCGGCCATCTTGTTTTTGGGAATCGCTGAAAAAAATTGGTTTTGTCATAGAAATAATGCTTGACATATAAGGTATGGGTCATTGCCACTAAATGTGATAGGCCTAATTTGCCATTTTTTTAAACTTTTTTTTATAAAATATTTTGTTAATATTAAGTTATTATAAGAAGTAACCATTCAGAAATACAAATCAATCAGCAGCAGAGCTTAAAATCTTTATTTAGTAGCCTATTTTTTTCTATTTTTCAGGTCACCAAGTACAGTCCGGTCACACCTATTGTTATAAAAAAAAAACAGTAAATATTGTTCAATAAAAAAACAAACATAATGATAATTAGGAAATAAGACTATTTCAACAGGTTTTATAGTTTTATAAGACTAAATGTTTGTTTTTTTCATGAAAAGTGATTGAAAAAGGTGAAATTAAATAGAAACTCCTCTTAAAAGTCAACAAAATCCATCATAGTTAATTAAATATTTACTTGTATCTGAAAAAAGTTCAGTAGCATTGAAATACAATTAGTTTACAAACTAGGTACCTATTGTAAAAAAAAAAAAAAATTACCAATGCATTTTTCTTAATTTGTATGAATCAGTACCGTGACCGGGCTGCCGCCGTCGTACCTAAAACTAAGATTTTGAGTATGCGTCCATCCTGTTATGCGAATATTTGAGCTTAGGCCTACATATGGTTAAAAACTGACCATAGAATCGTAAACGACAAATATTAAATATATAACAAAAAACTAAAACGGAAATTCATTCATACCTCCGGATATTTTGGAAACAAATTTCGTATAACAATTTAGGCCTAGTTTTTTTTAAACTATTTTTAGTTAAAGTTTAATATTTGTGTTGTTAGTAAAATTTAGAATATCAAATAACATAATAAAATAAACGCAACCTGCCATTATTATACATTTTGGCACTATATTACTCTATCTATTATTCCGGTCACGGAAAAACAGCTCCGTTAACATGACCGGACTGTTCGTGACTGGACTGCAATCTTACTATATTATTTAATATAGCTCCTAGGCTAGTTGACGAGACTAGGCCTCATTTTCAAAACAGTTTCCTCAGGCTTCAGACTTCAGAAGGCTGTCATACGCGACATTCCAGAGGTCTGGGCCGATTATGGAACCGGAGATAATCCTCTATGATACGCATGAGGTATGCCGGAACGTGGAAGGTGTTCTCCATAGCATCCAGCATATCGCTCCACCTCGCGGAATTAAATGCTTTTCGCACATCGAGTGTTACGAGTAGCACAATCCTACGAGAGTAGTGGTTAAAATCCTCAGCTCTCATCACGGCTTGGATTCACCTCCTCAACAGCGTCAACCGTAGATCGCCCCATCCTGAATCCATACTGACGAGGGGACAGGTCCCCCGCAGCGACCACAGCTGAATTCAGCGGGGAACGGATCAACTTCTCGAGGACTTTGCCAGCCATATCCAACATACACAGAGGTCTGTAGAAGGATGGCAGGTCTGTGTCTCCCCCTTCCCCTTCCCAACAAGCACAAGTCTAGCTGTTTTCCAGCACGAGGGGAAAACTCCTTCGGCTAGGCAGGCGTTGTACATGCGCAAAAGGATCAAGGGGTTAGTAGTCAAAACCTTCTTGAGGACGTCGCCGGGTACCCCATCGGGTCCAGGAGCCTTATTGTTCTTAAGGGATAGGACGGCCGCCTCCACCTCTCCAAGGCTGAAAAGTGGTACATCATCCACCCTTCCGAAATTCCGCAGTGGGAGCAACGTGTGAGCCGGGAAAAGGGACTCGACTATCCTCTCCATAGTGGCCCCATCCATGACGGAAGGTGGAGAGTGGGCGCCAAGTTTCTTGGTTACCAGGCCCCATGGATTGGAATCGACATCGTCCCTTGTCTCCCAGCAACTGTGTTTACTCCGATGGCTCGACGAAGAGACCTCCTAGCCACTCTGTAAGCATCCAACTTACTACAGGTTCTTTGGCCATGGTATCAAGTCTTCTGGCTCTCAATACTGCCCGACGCAGTTCCGCAATCTCGGCAGTCCACCAGTACACAGGTCGCTTATTAACACACTCATTATTACATTATTACACACATACTCATTTTTACACCGGGATCTCCTGCGAGGCATAGACTCATCGCAAGCCGAGACGATCAGTCCCATCATGGATGTAACTAACGCGTCTGCGTGAGCCACGCTAGTTGCGGGAGGAACCACCGGCTTTCCTCGTAAGATGGCTTCATTGAATTTTGCCACGGCCAATTTTTTAATATTCCATCGAACGGGCACTTGATGAAACGCTGCTACTTGTCTCTGATGACCATCCAGGACATCAAAAATTATGTACTGGTGGTCACTGGCCATGTAACCAACTATTAGAGTAGGCTAGCTAACGAAAGTTGGGAAACACCGCTCTAGGTGACTGTAGGCCTTCCGCTGTATGTTGTTGCCTTTAGTGGAGACCTCAACCTTGTATCTTTAAGGCCTTTGGTCTATAGAGAATATCACACACACTACCACAGCGCTAATAGTTCTCCTCATATGACATTCAGTATGCAGGGACCAGGCATCCTCACTACGCGGCTCACGGACCGCATGCAGCCCTCGGACTGATAAGAATTCAAACAAAATTTTAGAGTTACTGGCTTTGGACATAGTACCAAGCGATTCTGATAGATAGCTGCACTACCCAGGTTGCAGTTGGTAAAGTAGTGTCGCTATCTTAAATCTAGCAGGAAAAAGGTGAGACAAAGCCCTGATCTATACGACCCTGGTGGTGATTTTGGGTAACTATATTTTTTATTGTCAGAAAAGTACGTCCCCACGAGCTACAAAGAAATATAGGACGCTCGTGACGAGCTGGCTGATCCATGGAAACATTAAACAACAATGAACGGTGACGTTCCGGAACGTTCCTAGGTCCTGGCGCCGTGGCCCCGCTGACGTTCCGGAACGTCCATAGCAGCGAACGTGTTAAAGAAATTGCTTCAGGTAGCTTAAACACATGTTTATAGGGTTTTATTTTAAACAATTGTTCCAGGAGAGGGCTTAGACCCCCCCCCCTTTTACTGGTATTCCATACCCTCTAGATCCCCCGGATGAATATGTTTACAAGATATTTACTCTATTTGTTGTTGTTCTTAAGATCTGTGTTTCACTGCAAGTAAATAACATTACCTATAATTACCTATTTAATTGTAAGGGTAGCCGAGTAACTATAGTGATTTACACTAAATTACAGGATTTGAAAAGCCATCTGCAATACAACAGCGGTCAATCAAACCAATAGTGAAAGGACGAGATGTGATTGCTCAAGCTCAGTCTGGTACCGGCAAGACAGCAACATTTTCCATTTCTATTCTTCAGTCATTGGATACCACATTACGTGACACTCAAGTACTGGTTTTATCACCAACAAGGGAGCTTGCCGTTCAAATTCAAAAGGTATGTAGAAAGACTTATTAGCGAATTTCCCTATAGGGAAGTAGCTATTACCGTAGGTCTCATGGTAAGACTTAGGCCCGGGACCGATTTACTTTTTCATTTTGATGTCCCCAGAGGCCAAAAACACCATTCGTTCACATTTTTATATACATGTATATATATATATAGATATATATATATCTTATCTTATCTTACTAATATTATAAATGTGAAAGTTTGTGTGTTTGTTTGTTTGTTTGAAGTTCAATCACGCATTAACTACTAGACGGATTGGGCTGAAATTTGGCATGATGATAGCTCACATTCCCGATTAACATATAGGCATATTCTTTTCTCAAAAATCTTTTAGGGCTCCGCCCCAGTGGCTCAAATCGTCGTAGTTCTCCATGTTAACCTTATAAATATTTATATTTAAAGGGAATTAAAGAATTTAGTCAGCTGTTTCAACAAAAAAAAAATTGTTCTATAACATGCAAAAGCATTAAAAAGTTATAAGATTTACCAACAGGGTCCAGCACTATATTTTTTTGCATTTATGAAAACAGCTAATTTGAACTAAGCAGCAACAAAAAACTGTGTTACACAATGAGATCTGTCAAAATAGGATTGTTTCCAGTTATGTTTATGTTTTTAATTTAATGAATAATTTGTGATATTATGCAAATTTTTGATAATTTATTTTTCTCTATTGTTTAGGCGAAGTGGTAGAACATTATGGCTATGGTAGATGTGTAGATGTGGTAGAATACTGTAAATTTAAAGAAGCTAATTTTATCAAACTGTGTCCTCCCCCATTCCAAACGCAAAGATTGAGTATAACTGCAATAAGCATTTTATACTTATATGCTAACCCCATACGAAGGACAGGTACTCTGCTAGTATCTTACTAATATTATAAATGTGAAAGTTTGTGTGTTTGTTTATTTGTTTGTTTGTTTGTTTGAAGTTTAATCATGCATTAACTACTAGACGGATTGGGCTGAAATTTGGCATGATGATAGCTCACATTCCCGATTAACATACAGGCATATTCTTATCTCAAAAATCCTTTAGGGCTCTGCCCCAGTGGCTCTGTAGTTCCGCATGTTAACCTTATGAGTATTCATATTTAAAGGGAATTAAAGAATTTAGTCAGCTGTTTCTACTGAAAAAGTTGGTTCTATGATTTGCAAAAGCATTAAAAAGTTATAAGATTTACCAACAGGGTCCAGCACTATTATTTTTTTGCATTTATGAAAACAGCTAATTTGAACTAAGCAGCAGCAAAAAACTGTGATAAGCAATGAGAACTGTCAAAGTAAGATTGTTTACAGTTATGTTTATTTTTTTATTTCATTAATAACTTGTGATATTTAAAAAAATTTTTATAATTTGTTTTTATCTATTGTTTAGGTGAAGTGGTAGATAATTATGACTATTGAAGATGTGTCATACTGCCAACCCTGTACGAAGGACGGGTATGACTGCTAGTATATATATATGTGTCCATCCGCACAATAATTTGAGTAATTTTTGTCCGATTTTGATAAAATTTGGTTTGAAGGTGTAAGGCGGGATAAACGTGAATGAGTTCGCGAACCAGCATGATCGGACCATGGGAACGGGGTTTATGGGGTAAAAATTGGGTTTTCTCATTTTTACCCTTAAAACACAAAATTTATCAATTTTTCTCCAGACCTTTTTAAAGAGCTTAAAAAAAAATAATTTAGTATATGAAAGTGTTTTTGTACGGTGATTGGTTACGGAGAAAAAAAAAAAATTGTTAATTTTAATTCCCATGTTATTCTTATGGAGAATATTATAATATGTTGTAGTTGGCTTGTTTATGGATATATTTTGATCAAACTTGGCGGATTGATTTATTTCATACTAAGCTATTGATATTTTAATAAAATACCCCCGCCGCAGCAAACCTGCCGACTAAGCGAATTTCCATTTGTCTGAATTGATTTTCAGTTAAATATATTTTAATAACATTAGGTTTAACGAGTACCTAGGTTTGCTGCTACAAGGAAACTAATAAAGTGTGTTTTTGAGTAAAATATTGATAGCTTAGTACAAAATAAATAAATTTGCCAAGTTTGATCAAAATATATTCATAAACAAGCAAACTACAACATTTGACAATTTTCTCCATAAGAATAACATGGGAATTTTAAATTTACAATTTTTTAAATTTTCTCCGTTACTAATATTTGAACAAAAATACTTTTACATACTAAATTATTTGTTTTTTTAAGCTCTTTAAAAAGGTCTAAAGAGAAATTGGGAAATTTTGTGTTTTGAGGGTCAAAAGTGAGAAAAACCAATTTTTACCCCTTAAAACCCCCCGTAAAGCCCCGTTCCCATGGTCTGATCGTGCTGGTTCGCGAACTCATTCAAGTTTATCCCGCTTTACACCTTTAAACCAAATTTCATCAAAATCGGACAAAAGTTACTCAAGTTATCGCGTTCACGGACGTATATATATATATATATATATATATATAAGTCTATATATATATATATATATACATATATAAAAATTTGAACGAATAGTGTTTTTGGCCTCTGGGGACATCAAAATGAAAAAGTAAATCGGTCCCGGGTCTAGGTCTTACCGTGCCACCTACGGTAATAGCTACTTCCCTATAGGGAAATTCGCTAAAACACACTTTATTAGTTTCCCTGTAGCAGCTAACCTAGGTACTCGTTACATAAATGTTAATTTAATAGAATAATTGAAAATCAATGCAGGCAAATGGAAATTTGCTTAGTCGGCAGGTTTGCTCCAGTGGGGGTATTTTTACTGTAACTTGCATATTTTAAATAGTAAACTTCAATGGGGTTTTATTCCTTTTTGTAGAAAAAGGGTCCTAACTTTTGACTTTTAATGATTTCCAGATTTCAGAAATAAAATTCAGTCAATGACAACATCTAAAATTGATTACAAAATTGGGTTTAACATGAATAAAACAACAAACTAAACTCATTAGGTAAAACAAATCTAACGCATGACTGTAAATTTGAATAATATTAAATAATACCCCCACTGCAGCAAACATGCAAGCTAAGCGAATTTCAATCCACCTGGCTGGAATTTCACTAAATTATTTCCTTAAAATTGTCAGATTTTTTTCCTATTTTAATAACATTAATTGTAATGAGTACGGTACATGATTGATGATGATTAAACATGAAACAATGATTGATTCTTGCCATTCTTCTGGCATCTTTTATTCTTTCCACTCTTTTAGTATTATTTTATGTAATTGACTTGTTCACTACATATTTTACCCCCTCCTTTCAGCATTTCTGATACTACCATGTCCTCTCCTGCTGCAATATAGGCCTAAATGATATTTTCTGTAGCCTAATTTTAGCAAATTTCCCATATAGAGAATAAGCTATTACCGTCTCATGGTGAGACTTGGACCCGGGACCAATTTACATTTTCATTTTGATGTCCCTAAAAGCCAAAAACACCATCCGTTCAAATTCATATATTATATATATGTGTCCGTTAGCACGATAACTCGAGCAAAAAAATCCGATTTCGGTGAAATTTGGTACAAACATAACTTGCATTTATTCGAACGAGTTCGCGAACCAGCATGATCGGAGCATGGGAACGGGGTTTTATGGGAGGGATTTATATGGGTAAAAATTGGTTTTTCTCGTTTTTTCCCTCAAAACTTAAAATTTTCCAAATTTTCTTTAGACCATTTTGAAGAGCGTAAAAAAAACAAATAATTTAGTATATTGAAGTGTTTCTGTATAATTATTGGTTAAGCAGAAAATTGAAAAATAAAAATTCCCATGTTATTCTTATGGAGAATAAGTAAACTGTTGTAGTTTGATTTTTTATGGATAGGCCTATATTTGGATCAAACCTGGCAAATCTATTTATTTTATACTAAGCTATTAATATTTTACTAAAAAACACAATTTATTACCCTCCCTGTAGGCAGCAAACCTAGGTATTCGTTTTAAAACCTAATGTTATTTGAATAGATTTAATTAAAAATAAAATCAGGCAAATGGAAATTCACTTAGTCTGCAGGTTTGCTGTGGCGGGGGTATTTTACAAATAATTTAGTAGTACATTGGTTGTTGGAAAAAGGACTGCCCACTAAAACCAGTTGTGTGGACAGAGGCAAAAATACATGGCATTTTCTATTACCAATCTAGTAGTAAATAAATTAGTATGTCTATTAGTCGGGGGTCTACCCGACCAATTTTCATGATTGAGGTCTCAAATTGAAGGTATGCACGCACAGATTTCTCATCAAGCATCGGCATATATTTTCCTACTGTATTACTCGACCAAAAAACATAATTTGATTCATTTTCGAATTCTTACTTCATTTTAAGATTTAAAAAGATTATTTTAATCAAGTTTTCTTGATTGGAACATTTAGTTATAATGACTATCAAAATAATTTGCAATGAACTTATAAGGAGTATAAAACTCAAATTAACAGCAATTTTGTAGGGAGAATTTTGTATTTGCCAATTTAAAGTCCAAATCAGGATTAAAGTTTGTTATCCTTTTTTCAATTGAAAGGTTCACTTAACTTGGAAGATCTGAATTAAGATAGCTCGATCACTAGGTGCATGCTTACAGCTAATTTTCTCTAATTGGACAAAACGTGGAACGTGGGAGAGAGGTGTACTATCAACATATTTAAACAGGATATCTGGCGGGCTGGTACCGAGAATTCTACTCGAATTCAGTATGGACCAAAAACTACAATGATCACCAATAGCCAAAGAGACTCAATTCATTGCCGGCGATCCATTGGTCCTCTTTTAACATCATAAGTGACTCACGATCACTGGAGGCCATCACAGTTTTACTGATACCGCACAATGCAGTTGCGATTAAAGGACCATCGGGCCAGTCTTTAAGCCGGTAATGACTGCAGTTAGCTCGGACATGGTGAATGGTTCCTCCAGGAAGCGATTCTCACTTGCCACATTAGGCACAACAGGCTTCCGGTATTTCCATAGGTTTTGCC